GTGACCCCCCCCACCGTCCCCCCCCCCGCAGGCATCGGGCTGGACTCGTGCGTCATCCCCCTGCGCCACGGGGGCCTCTCGCTCGTGCAGACCACCGACTTCTTCTACCCGCTCGTCGAGGACCCCTACATGATGGTACCGCCCCCGCCGGGCTCCCACGGGGCACCGGGGCCACCAGTGTCCCCGCGGCGTCCCCACGGTGTCCCCACGGCGTCCCCGGTGTCCCCGCAGGGCCGCATCGCGTGCGCCAACGTGCTCAGCGACCTGTACGCCATGGGCATCACCGAGTGCGACAACCTGCTGATGCTGCTGAGCGTGAGCCAGGCCATGAGCCCCGAGGTGACACCGCGGGGACACCATGGGGATGGGGGGGTACCAGGGAGGTGACACTCGGGGACATGGCACAGGGGGGATGGGGATGGGGGGAGGTGACACTTGGGGACATGGCGTGTGGGGGGACACGGGGAGGTGACATATGGGGACACGGAGAGGTGATGCTCAGGGACACGGGGGGTGACAGGGACGGGGGAGGTGACACTCGGGGACAGGGGGCGACCCGGGGGTGACACGGCCGTCCCCAGGAGCGCGACGCCGTGGTGCCGCTGCTGGTGCGGGGCTTCCGCGACGCCGCCGAGGAGGGCGGCACCTCCGTGACGGGCGGCCACACGCTGCTCAACCCCTGGCTCATCGTGGGCGGCGCCGCCACCGTCGTCTGCCGCCCGGGCGACTTCATCATGTGAGCGGGGACACGGGGACACCTTGGGGACATTGGGGGGACAATGGGGGACATGGGGAGGGGGGACACTGAGACATGAGGGGGACAGCAGGACCGCGGTGCCCCCCCGCGTGTCCCCCATGCCCCCCCCCGTGTCCCCAGGCCCGACAGCGCCGTCCCCGGTGACGTCCTGGTCCTCACCAAGCCCCTGGGCACCCAGGTGGCCGTCACCGCCCACCAGTGGCTGGACAACGTGAGTGCCGGGGACACTGGGGACGCTGGGGGGATCCTGGGGACATTGGGGGGACCTTGAGGACCTTGGGGGGACATTGGGGGGACCTCGGGGGGGACATTGGGGGGACCCCAGGGACATTGGGTACCCCTTGGGGACCTTGGGGACTTTGTGGACCCTCTGGGGAGCTTGGGGATGCCTTGGGGACCTTGGGGACACTGGGGATACCGTGGGGACATTGGGACACTGTGGGGACCTTGGGGAACTCGGGGACCTTGGGAGGACATTGGGGACCCCCTGGGGACCTCGGGAACACTGGGGACACCTTGGGGACATTGGGGACCCCTTGGAGACCTGGGGACATTGGAGACCCATTGGGGACCTCGGGACCTTGGGGACGCCTTGGAGATCTTGGGGGCATCTTGGGGACCCTGTGGGGACGTTGGGGACCCCGTGGGGCCGTTGGGGACCCCGTGGGTGACGCAACGCGCCGCCCGCAGCCCGAGCGCTGGAACAAGATCAAGCTGGTGGTCACCAGGGAGGAGGTGGAGGCCGCCTACCAGGAGGCCATGCTGAGCATGGCCACGCTCAACCGCACCGGTGG